AACATAAATTGACTTCACTGACAATTTTTTTTGGTGTTTAGAGCCACAAGGGCGAGTAATGAGAATTGATCCCATGATCACCTGCAATCGGAAAGGGAGCTCTAACCACTTGAATTATCCCTCACTCTCTGACTTCACTAACAATTAAATCAACGAAAATGTGGTTTTAAACCCTAGAGTGTGAAATTGATTTTGAATATGAATATGAATAAATAAATAAATAAATCTTACTACAAAAGCTATTTCAAAGGAGACGAGAAACTAGAAGCTGCTCTAATGAAGAATGCATATTTCAATTGAGGAGGGAAAAAGGTGCAGCGTAATAAACAAAAATGATGACGATGGTTACTCCCTCTGTTTTTTTTGTATGTGCACCAAACGACCGTTTTTTTGTTTTTTTGGTACCCTATTATTAAAACTGGAAAACCCAATCACATTATATATTATTTCTCTCTTTTCCTTTTAACCTTACTATTATTATATAGTAATATTTTCTCTCTTTCACATTATTCCTTGTGGTCCACATTTATATTTCTCTTTTAGTTATCCTAATTTTTTATTCCTAACAATACCCATTCATCTAATATTTTATTTATTTTGGTTAAAAATATATGCCCAAGAGTATGGGGCAATTAAAAACATGGAGGGAGTATTTTTTACCCAAACCCAAATTCAATTTGGACCCTTAAGAACCAAAAGTACCCCAAAAACCATTAACAAAGCATTTATTCAGCACGCAAATCGAGAAAAAAAGATTAATACTCCCACCTTCCTTAAATATAGTTCTCATTTAACTTTTCACGATCTCTAAGACGTTTTTTAAAACATCTACTTCTCTATTTTCATACGCGTAAAAATTATAAAAACTTGATATTAATAAAATTTACAATGTGATGAATCCAACAAGATCCCACATGAACATATAATCTCTTATAAATTAACGGAAATTTATATATAGTAAAAGTTTTCAAAGTTTGACCCAAATAAGTCAAAGGGGAACTATATTTAGGTGTAAAGTGGGCCCCACTAACGGTGGCCGTTAACATTAGGATAACGACAAAGTCACTATTACTACGTAATTGTTCGGTGTGTAACTTTCAAAAGGAGGGAGCACAGCTTGGAAAACTCAATACCAGAAGGTTATAGCGTAGAATTTCCCAAATATTTTTTTTGAAAATTACTTTCTCATTTTTATTTGTTTTGTAGGATGATAGAAAACAATTTTTCAAAAAGTGAAAAATAGTTCTCACAAGCATAGTTGTTAGAATCGTGACCAGGATCGTAGGATTATGCGATCCTACGATCCAATTTTAGCCAAATAATTTGAATCGGATGCAGAATCGCAGAGCAAGCAGGATTGTTGTAGGATCATACAAGATCGGGTAGGATCGGACGATCCTGTTTTTCATTTTAATTATTATTGGATTGTACAAGATCGGTCATGATAGAATCGTGTATGATTAGTCATAATCGCATAGGATCAGTCAGGATTGTACAATCCGTCTTTTTACTTATTAAACTGAGCCTAAAGCAATCAAACTTTTTTCTAAGCCAAGAAAATTACTATCCAACTTTTTAAACTATAAATTTTAGCATTTTTATGGCGTAAAAAATGTGTATCTAATTATGTAGTAACCTTTTTTATTATCCATTTCATCAATTTCATAGGATTTTACGATTTTACGATTCGATTTTACCGATTCGATCCTATTCCCCTCATCGTCCAACTTGGGGTCCCGATCCTGACAACCTTGCTCACAAGAATCGAAAATGTTTTTCTTTTACGCCTGTTTGATTTGATGTAAAACATTTTCAATGAAAAATTAGTTTTAACGGAAAACATATTTTCAATGAAAATCACATTTGTAAGATAGTTTTTCTTTGTTAGGTTTATATAAGAAAAGGTAAAGAGAAATTAAAAATAGGAGTGAAAATGTGGATATAAATGAAAGGAAAGTAAAAAGGAATTAAATAGAAGGGAAGAAAACATGGCTTTTCGCCTTGTTTTGTAGAGGAAAATATTTTCCACCATTATGAATGCAATTTTCCACCGCTGGGAAAATTAGATTCAATTCCACCCCTTCACAAACTAAATAAAGGAAAATGAGAATCAATTGGAAAATCATTTTCCATTATTAAATTTTTAAGTCAAACTAAACGACTATGTTAGTTATAAATAAGTATAACTTTTGGAAAAATCATTTCCAAGGATATACACAATTGTTAAAACACAAATTTTTATATGCAACTAGCCACACGGTGTAGCCAGGTTTACTCGGTTAGTTTTTACACATTTGGTCAAGGTTTATCCAGTCAGTGTTTTGGTGTATGTAAGCTTGTCGCACGGTGTTGCTAGCCACACCAAAAAAAAGTGTTGTTGTAAGAATTATTTTCCTTTGTTTCCTTACAAAAAAAAAAAAAAAAAGAAAAAAGAAAAAAAAATTTAAAAAAAAAGAAAAAAAAAGTGTTGTTGTAAGAATTATTTTCCTTTGTAGCACGGCTTTTTGCTTAATTTTGAATTCAATCAGATTTTATCTCTCTACCCATAATCTTTGTGATTATTTGATTTCTTTGTGATTGCTACTTTGTAATCTTTGTGGTTACACCTTAATTCTAGCTTTACTATGTGTTGGCTTTGATTAAGAACCCCTATTTCATAAGTCTTGGTGATTGTTGAGATAGGTTTATCTTGTGTTGTTGCTTTGAAATTGTTGTTAATTGATTTTCCCCTTTTTTTCTTGTGTTTTGTTGGTTGTTTCATATCAGCATGGAAGCCATCCCATCTTGGAGCCTTGAGACGCCCAATTTAGAATACAACATATCTGATGACTTCCTCTAGAGAAGGAAAATGAGCTAATTAAAGAAATACTTCCCTAGGCTTGGTCCAGGTCGTAACAGTTTTAGAGGAAGAGAAAAGGCCCTGGAAGTAGTGATAGACATGGGTTTGGAGTTGGGAAGGCTCCGAGATAGAGTTCCCCACCCCATCATCAAGGGATAGGATTCTGTTCCTAGCTCTTCTCATGCATAACAAATAGATGGAAGAACTTTGAATTCTCGCCACCACTTTGGAGCCAGCGCTCCTTGGCTCTCTTAGGGTGCCCCCATTACTCACTGTGAGAAACGTTTTTGTTTCTCACAGTGGCAGTTTCATAAATAAAATGTACCACTTTAGTCACGGTGGTACATTTTATTTACGAAATGGATGATAAAATTGTACCACTTTAATCACGGTAGTACATTTATTTACGAAACTGCCACTGTGATGTTTCTCACAGTGAGTAACAGAGATTTACTGCTCTAGTACTCCAGTAAATTTCTTCCTGATTAAGGATAGGACTGAGTTCCTATTAAAGAGATCCCTCAAGGTTCCAGAGAAAGAGATTATGAGGTTGGAGCTCTAGGCTTGCTTAGAGGCCCCTGATTTTGGCCGGCTGCCTCTTTTCTTACGGAAGAGGTTTCCAACAAAGTCTTTAGCCCAATCAGATACAGAGAGAGAGGGGGTAAGAAAGTGATCTTAGAATATAATCAGATAAGATATAAGATCTTAGAATGAAATAAGATCTTTAGACCAGACCAAGCCTAGCTAAGAAAGCGATGAAAAGAAAACTTATATATAGTACCATAAGGGTTCAAAGGAGAAGAGCTTAGGCATGGCACGCAGGAGGAGGAGGAGGAGGAGGAGGAAGAGGAGGGGGTAAAAATGGAGAGAAGAATAGGGCACTGATTAGATGAGTCCCTGGGAAGATTTTGAGCATTTGACTCTAGCCAAAGGTACATCAATTGGGAATTAACCAGAGCCTTATCTAGCCTTTTTATAATAGGTTTCTTCTTTATTTTATTGGTCCAAGTAAATTTAAAATCGGCCAGAAGCCCCAATATCAATTAGGCCACAATTTGTAAATGATAAAGAGAAACCACGACATCTAGAAGCGGAAACAGGATTGCCACCAAGCTTTTCAGCTTGGGAGGCTACATCATTAACATCACCATCCAATTGCAACTCAAGGTACAAACATAAAATCAGCAATAATTTGCAAAGCAGACCACATAGCCTTCCTAGCTCTTATTTCCATACTAGCATAAACACCAGAAGAAGGAGGTATTAGAATATTTTACCTTCATGATGCCATGAATAGATTAGTACATGTCAGTAGAGACAAAGGTGAAATCCACCACATTGGAGTTCCAAAGCACTGCAAGACCACCAGACAACCCTCTAGCTTTTGCAGTGTGGCGACTGTCAAATGGGAAGGCCATCTAGACAGCCAATAGTATTGAACATGGAGGTACGCAGACCCATTACTCACTGTGAGAAACGTTTTTGTTTCTCACAGTGACAGTTTCGTAAATAATATGTATCACTTTAGTCACGGTGGTACATTTTATTTACGAAACTGCCACTGTGAGAAACAAAAACGTTCGTTTCTCACAGTGAGTAACAGAGATTTACTGCACTGTGATGGGATAATGGCTAAGCGGTCGGGTCATGGATCTTGCACTTCACTTGAATAGTGTTGTGGGTATGGACAAGATGCAGCAAGTTCTTCTTGAAGCCCTTTTGAGCTATACCTCTAGCACACCATGCGAGTATCATAATATTAGATGGCAGAGGGGGGGTAGCTGTGAAGCTCCACTCCCAGGGAACGAATTTCCTCTCCCAGAACTACAAACCTGAACATCCTCCAACAAAAGGGATTTACATCCCGAGGGCGGAGAGAGATCTTCGTCCATTGAGTCTTGTTCTCGTTCTTGCCCATAATCCTATTTCAATCTGCTTGAACCTGTTCTGGACAGAGCTTGAATTTCAAAGTGTGTTTAACTTCTCCTATTTTATATCATTTCCTTTCCCTTCCATCATTTTAATCGTCTTTCTTCAATCCATTTCTTAGAGCTATTAGTAATTTAGTGCAAATTGATTTTTGTTTTATGATTACAACTTAAAATAAAACATATGGATGGCAATACATGAAAAGGAATGAAGTATAATAAGCAAAGGACTCACTCGGTCAAGGTCATCATCGTACCAAAAATGTCATAAAAGTTACATTATATTGATAATAGTAAATGATGTCAAATTGTCAACTAATGATCACGTGAAATGGATTCAATATGACCATCAGAATAATCATACTTGTACAACTTAGCACATAAAAGATAGTATAGAAAGCTTATAAATCCTAAGATTGTTAGTGTCCAATATAGGTAATCTGCATTGCCATGGTTAATGTCATCTGGTAACCATGAAGTAGAATGTTGAACAACACTAAGAAAAACGATGCCAAGATAACTTCCAACTGAAAATTGTAAGGCAATCATGGCATTTGCAGTATTCTTGAGTGAAATCGGAAGTTCTTGATAATAGAATGACATTAATGTTGGAAAATAAAATGCTGAGCCAATACCCATCAACCCAAGGGGAACGACGAGCCAAAAAACCGACATAGGAGCCACTACTTGTGCTTGTTTATCCATCAAAATTTTAGTCTTAACTAAATCTAGTCTCTTCATTTCGACTAGGGCAAAAGCTACTGCACTCAACACGTTAACAAGATACCCGAAACCTATGGACTCCAAAGGTGTCAATGTTCGACGAATTATGTGTTGCACCAATGGATACATAATTCGATCAAGTATAAAGATCATTAGGCATGTTGAGACGATGATAAAGATGAGCATGCTTCCTGCCGGGATTTTGAAATGAGCTCCCATGCTTCGGTCCATTACTAAAGCTTGAAGCACAACTAGACTTGAATTTACTCCGAATATGATACTTGAAACAAGGCCAGATGACCATATTGGCAATACTCTTATAAACCTCTTAAAGTCCTCTACTTCCTCCACTGTACATAAGCTCCATGATTTTTTTAATCTTTGGCTTGCTATCACGTCATTATCATCCGTTCTTCCTAGGGCAGCTCGATTAAGAAATCTTAATTGACCATGCCAATAACATAGAGAGAGTCCAGTAAGTAAATATCAAGTTTATGTTATAGCAAATCGAACTATTTTGATTAAAAAACAACATTTTGGACGATGAAAAGAGTATACAAATGCACAATTATTTAGATTACCTGAGGCTATTAGTTGGAGGAACTCTATGAACAATACTTGATGTTGAGGTACCATAAAAGTAAGGATTACCATCGATTTCTGACTTTGTTGCATTTGTTTTAAGCTTCCTTACATATGCCACAACAACGCGAGCTATGCTAGTGAACGGGCTTCCTCCTCGTGGCATTACACGTCGATAAAAGCATGATCCACAACAGAAGAGCAGTATGGCCAATGCATTTCCAGCAACGCCAATACCAAAGCCGATTCCCCAATTAACGTTACTCTGAAGGTAAACTACAGCAGTGTACCCTATTACTTCGCCAATTTCATGTGCACCAAGGAACCAGTTAAAGAAAACTTGACGATGTTTAGGTGAGTTAGGATATTGGTCTGCACCAATTGTTCCGAGTAGGAAGTTCGTGCCTCCCGCTCCAATCACAGCCAAAGCGATTGTGGCATAAAGGAACCCATGTTGTACAGTCGATGGGGGCTCGCATTCTACCAAGTTATTTCTGATGCATAATTCAGGCCTTAAGGACGGAACTGTAGCTGAAATCGTAAACAGGACAACACCCTGTATCGTATTCAAAAGGAAAAGACCAACATCATTCGTGATGACAAAGTACTAACGATCTAAGAAAAAAAAATCGAGATCGTTTCAAATGCTTACAATCAGAGAAACAAAAGATGCAACAATGAAGATGGTGAACGATCCGAAGAAGGAGTCTGCAAGAACTGCACTAATGACGGAGACCAAAGTCATACCACCAATAACTATATTGTACAATTTTGCAGCAGTGATCTCCTTCATGTTGTATTGTTCTATTGCATATACAACAAGATTCGCGTTCCAAGCACTTGCTGCCAATGATATTCCTATCATTGTCCCTATGATTATTACAAAATTTTCATAATTTTGTAAGTTTTCACAGAAATATTAACAACAATAAATGAAATATTTTTATGTTAAATTTGTTTATAGGATTAAATATTTGATTATTGTGACCATATCTACAACTACACCATATTTTTAGCAAAAACAGTGAATTAGAAGGGATTTAAATTATTCTCAGGTTTTGAGAACCAACCCCGATGCTTTAACCAACTAAACTAGTTGACTTCCATATGTGCTTATACCATGTGAGGGTATTATAAACAAATTGATATAACTACTACTCTCTCCGTCTCTAAATGTTTTTCCCATTTGCCATTTTTTGTGCCCCTAAATGTTCTTCCCATTTCACTTTTTCCTATCCATGTGACTTACAAATTATGACCAATATACCCTCATTTATTTGTTCTTATTATGTGAGTTGCCTACTTTACCCTCATTTTCGCAATAATATTTGTGCCAACCACTTTGACTCCTAACATTTAATGACAAAGCAACTTTCTCTCCCTACTTTTCTAACAAATAATTGGGTGTTTATCTTTCCCAAAATACTTTCATTCCTTTACCTTCCAAATCTTAATTCCCGTGATTTTTCACCAAATGGAAAGATATTTAGGGACAAAGGAAATAGTATAATTAATGGCGCCAAAACACAATGGAGTATAACGGAATTTGCTATTTTGCTAATACTTTGTTGTTATTAGCGAGTATGGAAAGACTTACATGTTGACCAAAAATAGATAAAGGAATATAACGAATTGGTCGACCTTGACAACTGGACTTATACAGATTCGGAAAAAAAAAGAAAAAAAAAAAGGCTTACACAGATATTATGTGGAAAATGTTAAGGAGTTAGGTCCGAAGTTCATCATTGATTTCATCTCCTGGTAGGGATTTGATCTTCGAAATATGAAAGATAGATCTCTAAACAGAGTTGACTTTTGAAGGATACATCTCAGCAAAAAAACGACAATAATAGCGTTTATTTTCATTTGTACAATCTCCAAAATGTACTTTTAATCATCAATATACCATCAATATCTCTAACTACATATTAATAAAGTTTATATAGTTTATGCTATAAAATTACAATAGATTAATTTAGTGATATATATATATTACATGACGATATTTTTTAATTATATTAATGAGAATTTTTAGTCAAAATATAAGTTATGAACATAAATAAAGAAATGAGCAATATATATATTATGGGACAAAGGAATTAGAATTTTATAACATATAACATAATTAAGAGTTAAATATAAAATATTAAGCTTCAAAACTGAGAAGCTTAAAAACCGTAGGACAAACATAGCGGTAACATAGAAAAAACTCTTTTAACTTTAAAATCATGTCGTGTATATATTGAGGTAATTCATACTTGAAATTCTAAACTTGACAAAGCTAAGTCTTGGCTCACTCGATTGTCACCCTACATTGAATAAAGGATTTTTTGTGAAAAACTACGTTATATACTCCAATTTTTTTAAAAAAATCTACCTTATAAAAAAATTGTTGTAATAAACTATCTTATAAAACTAAATGTTGTAAGTTGCTACCATTTGCTTGATTTAACATGATTGAAAAGAGTCATTAAACGTCATTTATTTAATGCAATAATCTGACAAAAAGTAGCTTCTTACAACATTTAGTGATTTATAAGGTAGTTTCTTGCAACATCTAGTGTTTTAATAAGGTAGTTTATTACAATATTTTATTAATAAGGTAGTTTTTCACAAAATCTGAAATATATTAGGTAGTTTTTCACAAAAAGTCCTTGAATAAATTGGCTAGCAAACCAATCACCACACCGTTGTGACCCGTAGTGAACAACACCAAAAATAAGGATATTGACCTATAAGATTTTATGCTAGTGAATAAAACATTTAGAGATACATATCGATCAGGAGTATGTTTGAATGTATTTCTCCAATCTACTCGTAAAAATAGAGTCAAATTAATTGAAGTTTGAGCATGATTATTCAAATGTAATACACATATTGTTTGATAAGACAAATTAAGTAAGAGATTAAGGAAGAGAAATATTACCAATGATGAAAGGGAAGGTTATCCAACCTCCTTTGTTGTTGTTTACAGTTTCGTCGTCAAAACTAAGTCTTGATGCTTCTTCTTCATGCTGCTTCGGGTCACAGATCTCCATCTTTCAGGTTTACTATTATAATAAACATGGTCTGTTGGAATCCTTCTTGTACATTATTTATCAACATCTTGCTTAAAATTATTATTTTACGTTTTATTTAATCGCCAGTTGCCCACAACTAAATTTTTGTACTATTATATTATACAGTATAATTTATTGCGATAGCATAAAATACCCATAAACAAATTCATCTTCTTGTCAAAAATCACAAATAAATTTAAAAAAAAAAATACTCCTCTGTCTCTCGAACAAAGACTCGTTCAAGTTGGGGCCTAGGTGACACATCACACGTGCCCTGTCAAGAACTATTGCATAAAATATTAGTTTTAAATTTTTAGTCACCAAAGCCATGGAATTGAGGCTGCCGAGATTTATAACCTTAAAAAAGTTTATCAAGGGTTATAATAGTTGTTTCGGGGTTTTCTGATGTCCTGCGGGAGAGTTACAATTCCGAGACTGGAACCGGACGCCTGTACCTGTAAAATAACGGAGACTCCTGAGAGCTCCGCCTCCAACGGTCAAGTTAGTACCTGATTAAGGAGTAATTAATACGGAAATTAAAGTAATAAGATCTCTCTAGGTGAGAGTGTTTAATGTTGGTAATCTGCGTCGTTAGCGAGATTAGCCGGTTATTAGTGTTCCGTAATGTTTCTGTTCTTCTCTTGATTTCTTGATCTCCCTAATTAATGAGGATTAATTAAGTATTTATAGCCTTGAGAAGCGTGCCACTCTCTAGGTTTAGGGTAAACCTAGGGCTGACCGGGCCTCTAGACAGGATTGGGCCTTGTTGGCCGGTTTTCCCATTTGGCATGGGTGGACACGTGGCGTGTCTCAATTGGTCCGTAGAGGACGTATCTGTGATTGACACGTGGCAGGCTCCTATTGGCCTTCGTGAAGGACACGTGGCGGAACCTGGTTGGTCCACTTGTCAGACGGTGATTGGTGGATAAAAATCCCCTAATCATTTGCCCCTCACAGGTGGCACGTGACTGGTCACGTGTCGCCTGTGACAGGTGTCGCACGGTGACAGGCGACGGCCTGCTACAGGTGTCACCTTGCAAATGGCCGAGAGATTTTCCCGCCCAAATTTTGAATTTGGAAGCGACCCTTCGCCTTCTCACTTTGCCTATATAAGGAAGTGCTGACTTCGGTCATTTTCACATTTGAGAACTTTGCGAGAACATTCGGACCCCTGAACTTGCTCTGACATTTCGGACCTTTTCTGCCTACCGCCTGTTCTGACAAGCCGACTGCACCGGACTTCCAGAACTTCATCAACCGTCACTCGTTCAGGTAACTCAGTTCTCTTACTCTTAATTTTCTTTTTATTTTTTGAAATGGCACCACGGAAGCACACGACACGACCTAAGTTAGTGATCAGCCGGTCACCGGGGACGGCTGAATCTAGGACTAGGAGTGCCGCCTGCCCTTTTCTGGACCCATCTTTGCCCTTTATACAAAGTCCGACTGTATCTGTGTCTATGCAGAACGTGATGGCCAGAACAAAAAAGACTGCTATGATATCAAACTCAGACGGCTCCTCCCAAAGGGTGCTCATTAGTGAAACATCTGACCAGGCGCCAGATGTAGAATTGAAACGAGGCGGCTGCCAAGCCGACAGTTCTGAGAGAGGGGCCAAGGTGGTCCCTTCCCATCTTACCGTTGACATGTCTAATTTTCCTCCTGCTCCTTCTAAGGGAGAGGAGGCGGGCCCCTCTGGGAGAGGGGAGGAGTCGTCCTCTTCGGACTCGTCAGAGGACGAGTCCGAGTCCAGCTCTTCTGGCCACAGTTCTCCAGGCTCAGAAGAAAGACATAGCCGCCTACAAGAGGCGAGACTTTCTCACGCAGTTGAGAAGGGGGACAATTGGGCGGAGCCGTCCGCCTCTTACAGAGAGGAAAACGCCCCCTACTACTGCATGGTACCCCGGGGCCGGATCGCAACCATGCAAGACAAAGTGGAGAGCTTTATTGCTAACCACAGAATGGGCCCGGAATTTTTACTGTTCGTGCCGGATCCAGAAGACACTGTCGTCTGGCCGGCTGGTACCAGCTATGATGACGGCTGCTTTGGCTGCTATGTGGCGGCCATCAAAGCTGGACTGCGCTTCCCATTACATCCGGCTGTTCAGCGGATTTTAGATGGGTATGATTTGGGGTTATGGCAGTTAGCCCCCAACTCTTGGGTAAACGTACTCGGCTATGTGGCCGGGTGCGAAATGTACGGGGTGGAGCCAAGCTTTGAGGCTTTCGCCCACATGAACTATCTCAGCCGGACCCCTAAGTCGGGAGGTACCGGCTGGTATCAATTAACAAGCCATAGGGGTTACCTCATGACGAGAGGTAAAGCGAACAAATGGAAGGATTGGCGGAACACCTTCCTTATCATTGAGGGTTCAGACACGGAGCTGAACCAACGTTTTAACAAGTGGAATAGGGATCCGCCTCTTCTCGCAGGCGGCCGCAGCATGCCGCCTGTTCCCCCAAAGGCTAAAAGAGAGATCCTAGACAAAGGATTCTTCAAAGTAGAGACTAGGGTGAACCCTACTTCAGGGGTACGAGAGCAAGTACCCCTAAACTGCGTCCCGAGCTTCAAGTGGCTCTATGACGAGTACTTTTTGGCCGCCTGTGGCCTCAGCAGTCGGTGCTCTAGAGGTAGCCGGCCTGATAAATACTCTGTTTTTTTTCACGCCTTGTTTACTTGGGATCTTTACTAACTTTGCTGTTTATTTTTTGCAGCTGACGCCATGAGTAAAATAACAGCATCCAAGACTGCGGCGGCCATGTTGCGGGCCTCTCTCATGCAACAATCTTATGCCGAATCCCCCAACAAGGGGGCACCCTTGGTAGGCTTCGAAAACTCTTCCTCTTTTAGGAGTTGTCTTATGCATATACTAACTCTTTTTGTTTTCAGTCTGGCACTCCAAGAGCTTCCTCCTCGCAACAGCCGGACCCCAAGGCCCGGAGGACGACTGTTGCAAGCTCTCCTGGGTCTTCCAGGAAAACAGTGGCGGCTGAGAAGCAGCCGACCACTTCTTCTAAAACCCCGGCGGGGCCGCCTAGAAGTATGGACAATCACTTGTAAAAACTTTCACACTTGCTTCCTTCTTGACTAGGTCTAACTTGCCTTTTTTTACGCTTGATGCAGCCGGCCCTCAGGGGCTTGACTTGGTTGAGGTAGCCAAGTCCATGATCAAAGTAGTTCCTCCATCTGAAAGGGAGGCGGTCAGGGGTGCCGGCACCCTTGACCTTGATGGGATTTCAGGGGTCCTTGCTGAGGTATACTTAGCATATTTTTGAGTATTTGAGTTCCAGGACGCCTGTTATCTTTTTTGTTTGGAAACTGACGCCTGTTTTTTTTTTGTACTTAGGCCCTGCTCCGAGTCAACAGCCTTCGCAAGCCGATTGATCGGAAAAACAAAGAGGTAAAGGCCGCAAAAGCTATGGCCGCCTCCAACTGTGATAAGGCAATGTTTCAAATTGCCCAAAATGAAGTACTGACCATTGATATTCTTTATTATCAGGCGCAGGCTACCGCCGCTGTTCGGGCTCAGTTAAAGGCGGCCCAGAAGAAGAATGACGAGCTGGAGGCGACCGTCACAAATCTTAAGGCCGAGCTGAAACCTCTTCGCCAAAAAATGCACTCTTACGAAGCCATGGAGAAATCTTTGGCCAACGTAAAAGAACGCCTGGTGAGCCAAGAGAAGAGTCTTACCCAAGAGCTCTCGGAAAAGGCCGAGCAAGAGAAGAAAGAGATCGTCCGGGAGATGGTGGAAGACTCCGCTCAAATCCAGCGCATGACCTGGGGCCCCCTGTTCCCCAATGCCGACTTTGCCTCATGGGAGA